GACAGAGAGAGAGAGAGAGAGAGAGAGGTGTGTGCAAAGAAGTAGAGAGAGAGAGAGTATGAATAGAGAGCGGTGCTGAGCTGTAACGTCCAGCTCAACCAACAACCAACCGCTCAAGAATCTCCCACACACGCCTATATGTATATATTCTCCCTCCTTTCCCCGCCCCTCCCATTTTCAAACTCTCTCTCTCTCTCTCAGTCTCTCTCTCTAGCCATGGCGACAGACCCTCCGCTGAGGGTTCCTGACCCCCCGGAAACCTCGGTCGATGAAGATCAGGCCAAGAATCAGGGAACTGAAGTAACAGGGGCACAGAATGAACAAGAGGAAGCCAAGAATCATGAAATTGATGAAACAGGGGCGCAAGAGGATGCCAAGATTCCAGAAATTGATGAAACAGGAGCGCAGAAAGAGCAATATCAGGCAAAGAATCAAGAAACTGAAGTAACAGGGGCACTGAAAGAGCAAGAGGAGGCCAAGAATCAAGAAATTGATGAAACAGGGGCACAGAAAGATCAAGAGGAGGCAAAGACTCAAGAACTTGAAGTAACAGGGGCACGGAAAGAGCAAAAGGAGGCCAAGAATCAAGAAATTGAAGTAACAGGGGCACAGAAAGAGCAAGGGGAGGCCAAGAATCAAGATGATTTTCTCCGGAGCCTGCAATTGGAGCACGAACGCTTAACCAGAGAGCTGGATGTCCTCACGAAGAGGAACGAGGAGCTTCAGCGTCAATTGGAGCACCAACGCTTAACTATCGAGCTGGATGTCCTCACAAAGAGGAACGAGGAGCTTCAGCATCAATTGGAGCACCAATGCTTAACCAGGGAGCTGGAGGTCCTCACGAAGAGGAACGAGGAGCTTCAGCATCAATTGGAGCACCAACGCTTAACCAGCGAGCTGGAGGTCCTCACAAAGAGGAACGTGGAGCTTCAATTGGAGCACCAACGCTTAACCAGGGAGCTGGAGGTCCTCACGAAGAGGAACGAGGAGCTTGAGCATCAATTAGAGCACCAAGGCTTAACCAGGGAGCTGGAGGTCTTCACGAAGAGGAACGAGGAGCTTCAGCGTCAATTGGAGCACCAATGCTTAACCAGCGAGCTGGAGGTCCTCAAGAAGAGGAACGAGGAGCTTCAGCATCAATTGGAGCACCAACGCCAAACCAGGGAGCTGGAGGTCCTCACGAAGAGGAATGAGGAGCTTCAGCATCAATTAGAGCACCAACGCTTAACCAGCGAACTGGAGGTCCTCACGAAGAGGAACGAGGAGCTTCAGCGTCAATTGGAGGACGCAACAGGAGACCAATCAGACATGGAAGGTGCCAACCCTAAGCCTCAAGAACCCTAGCATATATCTCTCTCTCTCTCTATAGAACCAGTTCAAGTTTTTCCTCTCTACATCCATCGAACCCTAGGTTTTTGTTACTTTCTAAAACCAACTTGACGCCTAGGTTTTTTCTCTCTCTAAATTTCGACTCCCCTTTTGGATCCTAGCTTTTTCTACTATGTGCAGGGCACTTCGACTGTGAATCTTTGTTTGTTTTGAATAAAGAAATTTTCTGATTCTGAAATCCATCTCGTCCTTTTCAATAATCCATTTGCCTTGTATGAAGAAGCAACAACCCTCACTCTCTTCTCTGTGTATGTAGTATGAATACACAACAACCCATTTTGAGTCGAATTCCTCCTTCCATTGCATGAAGCAGTAGTTTGATTACGATTACGATTTTCCTCCTTGTGTTGTGCAGAACATGCTGCGTTTTTGAGGCAGCGGTTAATGGAGGGAGAATGGCTGCGATGATTCCTGAGTTAGGGAGGATTTTCGAGCACTCAGAAGCTCAGCATCACGGTTTGGTGGATATGATAGAGGAAGCAAGGAGAGAGTTGGAGCTTTTGGATTTGCTCCGGAACCTGCAATTGGAGGAAGCAACAGGGGCAGGGCTTGATCCTAGCTTTTTCTACTGTGCAAGACAGTTCGACTGTGACTCTTTGTTTGATATGAATAAGGAAATCTTTTGATTCTGAAATCCATATCCTTCAATTCATAGAGACCACCCTCTTGTGTTAGTAGTACGAAATATGGCCATTCTTTTCTATAATCCATATGCCTTGTATGAAGAAGCAACGACCCTCTCTCTCTCTCTTCTGTGGATGTAGAATGGAATTGCAGCAGCACCATTTTTTAGTGTAAACCATTTTGAATAGAATTCCTCCTTGCATTGCATGAAGCAGTTTGATTATTATGATTTTGATTTTCCTCCTTGTGTTGGGTAGAAGCAAGAAAACAATGTAATGGAAGACTCCTCAATTTGCTACTTTACTTGATTTCTCTACCACCTCTACTCTGTTCTTCTTTGCATGTATAATGATGATGAATAGGAGCAATTTGTGTGAGCAACACAACTTGTTAATTTTATTTTTTTATCATAAAATAAATCGAACAACCTCATTTGTAGGGTAGGTCGATGGTTGAAACATTGGATTGCCCAACACGTCTATTCCACACGTATATTCCACTGCTGCGTATGGTGTGGTATGATGTATAAAACTTCGAGCCACTTTATACTGAGCATATTTTGCTCTTTATGAGGTCCAATATTTCGAACATCATATTGCTCTATACATGGAAGAAATTTTTGCTTTTTCACTAATATGATGTTTAAAACGTCATGTTGTGCTTTGTTATGAGTAAGTCTAAGAAGAGAGAGCAATCGGATGTTTGCCCATTAAACATTGGATTGCAATCTGAGAGAACGTCATTGCATCATGCTATTATACAACAGTGTTGCATGAAATCACTGCCTATATATATAGGTGTGGTTTCAATAAGGTTGCAACCTTAAACAATCCAATTAAGGCGCACTTCCAAATTTTATTATACTATGTAATTTTGGTGTAAAAAATTCTTAGGATTAACTAAAAATGTATTTTCATATCTAATTATAAAGTTTTAAACTCCATAAATAGTTAAAATCATGTAGATCTATAAACATGTGAAAATCATGAAAATTGATGGTCTAAATAATGTGTTACAAGATGCACTATTTTTGGGACTCGAAATATTTTTTTTACACATTCATACATCTCGATGTCAAGATGATCACTTAGAGGGTCTTTCAACATTAAAACAAACTTTTTCGATGGATTTTTGAGGTGCATCTGTAATTCTATATTTTAAGGTTGCAACCTTATATAAACTTTTTCTTATATATACTACAAAACACCTATAGGCGAAAATGAATTGTGATTTTACCTACCCTCATCACCATCCAAACTTCATTGCACAGTCACAGTTGTCCGGTAGTATTTCAATTTTTATTTTGTTTACTAATCTGAATGATCTACAATTTGGAGCGTGCATACATCTTAGTGAGGCGCACCTAATAAAATATAAAAAAATAATTCATAAAATATAAATTAACCAAAATACCCATATAAATTTTCAGGCATATTTTGGTTAATGTATATTTTGTGAATTTTTTTTTTCATAGTTTTATTAGGTGCGTCTCACTAAGATGTACCCACACCCTAAATTTCAAGTAATTTGGATTTGTATAAAAAAAATGAAAATTTAAAACACTACCAGACAATTGTGACCTTGCGATGAAATTTAGACAGTGATGAGGGTAGGCGAAATCACACATATATATATATATATATATATATATATATTTATGAATAGTGATTTCGCCTACCATCAGCACTGCCCAAAAGCGGTATTTTAGTCAAAAATATTTCACGAATTATTTTTTTATATTTTTATTAGGCACGCCTAACTAAGATGTACACATACTCCAAATTTTAGATCATTCCGATTTGTAGAAAAAAAATGAACAGTAATTTTTCATATCCTCATCATCGTCTAAAGTTCATCGTACGGTCACGATTGTCAGGTAGTATTTTATTTTTTATTAGTTTTATATATATTAAAATAATTTTAAATTTAGATTGTATGTTCATCAAAAGTATCCGAATCGATTAAAAATATCAAAAAAATATTTTATATGAAATAAATTGATCAAAATATCCCCGAAAAGATTTAGGGGTATTTTGATCAAAATTATTTTTACAAATTATTTTTTTATATTTTTATTAGGTGAGCCTCACTAAGATCTATACACGTTCCAAATTTCAAATCATTCTGATTTTTAAAAAACAAATGAAAAATAAAATACTACTGGACAATTTTGACCATGCGATGAACTTTGGAGGGTGAAGAGGGTAGGCGAAACTACTATTTATTTTCGCCTATATATATATATATATATATATATATAGAGTAA